TCATTCGTTTCGCCATTGGAACCATTTTAATGATGCAATTTTCAAATATTTTATAGTCTTCAACTGTGTATGCATCTCTGAGATACTGCCCCTTGAAGCGAAGTCTGAACTGATGATCACCTCTGCCTAATTCATACAGTACATGCAACATCTGAGCTCTAATACGAGCTATTGTGTCTGTCGCTTTACATTGCAACACAAATGTCTTGAACTGAAACAAAAAATAATTTATTTAGAAACTACAATGTCTTTCAGTCAGAGACATTAACAAAAATATTTCATAGAACTTTTATAACTGGCTTCACAATTCAATTAGATACAGTGTCACAGCATTTTGACTCACTTTTAACAAATCCTGAATGACTGTTATTTACTTTGCATGTGTACTATGATTTCTAATTTAATATGTTTTGATAATTTTAATTGGTATATATATTTAATAGTATATGCATGTACACTCACAAAAGTACCCATAAAATATCAGTAAGAGAATGAAAAACCTTGACAAAAGAAAACATTTTTCCTTTGCCATAATGATGCATTTTTCATATCCCTGTAACTTAAATTTTAAGGTTTTTTTTTTTTTAAATATTTTATTCACATTTTCCTGTATACCATGGAGTTCATACATCATTCCCTGACTGATATGCCTATGTTGTGCAGTGTACTTGTCAATTGTTTTTTTGTTCTTGTGGATAGTTTTGTCAATTGTTGTCAGTAAATAGCTATTTTATTCCCACTTTGCATCCAGTACCAGTACTAGCATAAATGACGGACTTAAGCAGAAGAGTGTAATGTTTATTTTGTTCATTAATGTTGTGTGGTGACTAACTTTGGGGTCTACCTGTGATTCCCAAGTCCCATGTGGACTATGTCCAAGCCTGTTTACTTACTTGTTAGTGACTGAAAATATGACCAAGAAAACATGAGGTTAGTAAAAAAGAAAGCTAAAGGTCTATTGGTCGTGTCAAGTGCAGCAGAACCACAACCAATCTGTCAGCCATTGTCCACAGCAGCAATATGATTTCAGTAGACACATCAAAAATGTATTAAAATGAACACAATTATCCCTGCCAGCTATCAAATCTTTCATCGCCATGAGTGATGTAACTGGTGTTTCCATCAATTTGCTTCTATTCTCACTATCCTTAAAACTCTAAAGTGAATGCTGTCAAATTCGCGAGGGTGTGTTTTTATATACAGTGATGAAAAAATAGCTACAATCAATGACCAGCCAATGGGGATGAGGGACTACATTTCAAAATAACATTTTATCTATATAGTGTATATATAATAATAATCTATGTGTGTGAAAACAATACTGTTTCAATTATGTTATAAATATTTATAAATACTGCAAGTCAGGGGAAATAGTTAAATGTATTATCACTGACAAAAATGACGGCAGGACTCCAGAAGACGTACCTACACTTTATGCAATTTTTTTTTAATTATGCTAATTTATTCATGACGTAGCAGTTTCTGTGCTCATGAATATTCATTAATTTGTGGGTCAATACATTTTAAAAGGGGCGATATATTATTTTTGGGGGAAGAGTTAGAAAGGGGGATCAGTAATCCTTAGGGGGTCAATACAAAAGAAGGGACCCATTTGGAGAGCAGCCATGCTCCTCGTGTCTGTTGTTGCACGTGACCTACAGCTGTCAACTGTGTTCGTTCTTCGTCGACTTCGACTGGCTTCCATGTGAGGTAGTATTCTTGTGTTCTGTTTTTCTGACTTGAGTTTTTGAATCCGCTGTTTATGTTTTTAACGTCTTTCATGTCTTTTGTAGGAGTGTCCAATCCGTGATTCGAACTTGCGATCTTTGAGTTCCCAGCGCACTGTCTTGTCCACTGTAC